GCAGCATACTCCAAGGACTCTCCTAGCAAGAGAAACTGAAGCTGGGTTTGGTCAAGAACCAAAGCATACTTTAAACTGACAGGGCTGGGTGTTCCAAAACAGCCTGCTTTCCCCTTCACCCTCTACCCGCCCTCTGCCCTTGATGTCCCATACTAGCTATGCACTCCACTGCCCTTTGCAGCCAAGCTCCCAGAACGACCCCTAGTGCTGGACAGAGGAAGTGTTGCCCAGTGCTCCCCTGGACCCCGTGGCCAGTTCTATTGGCACCAGTTAGCAATGACCGATTTCCTCACCAGAACCTGGGCTCCTTGAGGCAAGGACTGGATCTTGTCTTTCTCCTCTGCATCCCCAGCAAAGGCATTTAGTTTGCCGGATGTCTTGTCTCTCAACCTCGTCTGCTCACTAACATTTATTTATTTATTTATTTATTGACATGGAGTCTTGCTCCCTTCGCTGGAGTGCAATGGGGTGACCTCGGCTCACTGCAACCTCCACATCCTGGACTCAAGTGATTCTCCTTCCTCAGCCTCCCAAGTAGCTGGGATTACAGGGGTGCACCACTACAACCCATTAATTTTTGTATTTTTAGTAGAGATAGGGTCTTGACATATTGACCAGGCTGGTCTCAAACTCCTGATCTCAGGTGATCCACCCGCCTCAGCTTCCCAAAGTGCTAGGATTACAATACAGGGATCAACCACTGCACCCAGCCCACTCCCCTATTTCTGAGTACCTGAACCCCCCACCATCAGGTACCCTTGGGTTTTATTGAAAAGCAAAAAGATTATATTTTAGAGGCTTCTGTTTTATAGGATGAAGAAACTAATCTCTTCCATTAATAAAGCTCAGTCAAGGGAGGAGTGGCAACCCTATTCTTTCCAACCATGCCCACCTCCCAGATAATGCCGCCGTTCTCCCCACCTTTCTCCCCAAGCCCATGGCAGGCACCACCAATTGATCACAGCATTCTAGTTGAGCCCTGATCTTTCTCAGCACTGATCAGGGTTGCATGAAAAGATGCTTATTTGCCATGGTGGGATTAAGCCACTCATGGACAATTGTACCATTAGATACAATAATAAATGATATATTTATAAAAGTTCTGTTGTAATTTACAAATTCCTATTCAACTGTGCAATGCAGATGACACATTAGACGAGCAGGATGCCTCTCTTGTGGACTCTGAGGGACTGACTGGGACACAGGACAGGGAAGTTTTGATTGGAAGGCAGGAGGAATCCGAAGGGGAACAAAACAGGTTGGAGCAAAAAACAATTTAAGACTTTGATTGCTGAAGGGGGCCACTCAGCCTCCTTGCTCCTTCCAGAGACTCTGAAGTAGGCCACTGCTTTGCAATAGGGAAGGTCAGATGTGGGGAGTAATGGAGGAAAGGAAGGCAGAGGCAACTGCTGGCCACAGCCTGGAAAGGTCCAGGGTCACCCGATCAATAGTTTCCATATAACCCTGGGCAGCTATTGTCTGTTCCTCAGTTTTCCCCAGCTTTTTGTTTTGTTTTGAGACTGAATCTCAATGCTTTGTCACCTAGGCTGGAGAGCAGTGATGCGATCTCGGCTTACTGCTAACTCTGCCTCCCAGGTTCAAGCGATTCTCCCGCTACAGCCTCACTAGTGGCTGGGACTACAGGTGTGCACCACCATGCCCAGCTAATTTTTGCATTTTTAGTAGAGATGGGGTTTCACCAAGTTGGCCAGGCTGGTCTCAAATTCCTGACCTCAGGTGATCTGCCCACCTCGGCCTCCCAAAGTGCTGGGATTCCAGGCATAAACCACTGCCTCAGGCCTTCACCCTGTTGAAATTATTCCTTTTAACTTTCCAGGAGAGCAAACTTACCATGTAAATGTATAAAGCCTGAGTATAAATGACAGGTGACAAGCTCTGCCCAGGCAGCTGAGGCTTCTCCCAGGGTAGCCAGGGCAGGGTAGCCTCCTGTAGAAGAGTCCCTATAGGGACTGCACTGACCAGCTTGACATCCCTTGGTCCAGAATTCATGTGCCCTCCTTCCTAAGACCACTGAGGCCCTGTCTACTGGGGTTGTAGCATCTCTGCCCATCTAGGCTAGAGATTCCAGAATGGGTTGTGAACTGGGAGAATAGGGGTAAAGAGAGAGATGCTCCAAGCCATGGGTCTTTGTGGGCAAATAATTTCACTCAGCAAACTTTGTGGTTACTGCCCTTTGCAGGGCATCTTCATTTAGGGAAAGGCATGAAATGGTAGTGGCCAAACCCCCACCTCACCCCCACCACCTCCAGGCCTAACATCGCAGTGGGAGGAAGATGGGTAGAGGTGCGGGAAGAAGTGTGCAAAGAGAGGGCCTGGATGGGTGGGGGTCCCAAAAGGACCTAAGCAGCAGGAGACCCCCAGAAGTGGGCTTTAGGCCCAGCAGCTCCCCCTTCTCAAGATGAGTCCAGAGGCCATTCTAAAGTGAGCCTGTCTACGAGGGCATGGGTACCAGCCTGTCCTCCTGATTCCTGAGGCGTTGGCTCGGCACCCCATGGGGGACTGCCCTTCTCCAGGCCTGGCACAAAGCCAGGGGGCTAAGAGCAGTCTGCAGGACAGAGGGCAGGACCACAGCAGGGAGGGGGCTCAGATGCCAGCTCCCTCTCTTGCCATATGAGGCCAGGTCTGTGGCTCAAAGCCCCTGAGCTAGGCACGTCCTGAGAGTCTGGGAGCATCCAGGGGCTGACTCTTCATCCTCAGCCCTGCGTAGCATTCTGCCCTCCTCCCAGGGCCTGTCCATTCCTTCAGTTCCAGTGCCTCCTCCACACATCCATGCCTTCCACCTCGCTGCATGGAGCAGAGTCGTGCCCCCACAAGCCAGAGGAAACAACGAAGCTGGCAAGAAAGAACAGCAGTCAGAGCAGGGCAACACTGGGGAAAGGAATATCTATTATGAGCTGGGCATTTTACACCCGTGCTTCCCAGCCTTTTCTGTAAACATGGAAAACACTTTTTGCACATGTACTGCGGCCAGGGGAATCTGCTTCCTCCCAGGCCCCTGAGGCCTGAGGGACCAATGTGGATCAATCCTCAGCACAGGGGATCTGCCTTACACCCCACTTCTCAGCTAACCCTCACTACAATGTGGGAGGGTGTTAACAGGACCATCTAAGCGGGTTATGGCACTAAAGGGGGTCCCAGGCTCACTAGGACTCTTAAGATGCCTGCAGGCGGGTGATGCCACCTGGAAGGTGGTAGTGGGGAGAGGGAGATCTAGGTTTCCACTGGAAAAATTAAGGCTAGAAGGCAGGCTAAATCCTTCCTCGCCCTGCTCCTAGTTCTCACAAGAAAGGAGTGGCATCTGGGGAAGAGGGCACAGGGCTGACAGCCAGGGCTTCCAGGTTCTATTCCTGGCCCCTCTCCTGGGCCTTCCTGACCACAAATCTGCCCCCCACTCCCTGCCCTGCTGTTCATGGAGGATTAAGACAGCACAAATAACAACTCATGACCCCATCCTGTACCCACCCACCCTGCCCCAGTGCCCTGTGCCCTCCTCCAGCTTCTCCTCCTCTGGCCCAGCCACTCCTGACTGGCAGTCAGGAGCAGGTAGACAGGCCCATGCCACCCCACCACCCCTGGTCCTTGGCATCAGTGGCCTAGCCTCTGATGCAGTTGCCATCCTCCAGCTCCCTCGCTCTCCCAACAGTGAGCCCTAGGGCCCAAAACCCACTGGCAAGAATGGGGACCAGGTGCAGTGGCTCACACCTGTAATCCTAGCACTTTGGGAAGCCAAGGGCAGATTGCTTGAGCTCAGGAGTTTGAAACCAGCCTGGGCAACATGGGGAAACCTCAAATCTACAACAAAAAAAAAAAAAAAAAAAAATTAGCCAGGCTTGGGGGCATGTGCCTGTAGTCCCAGCTACCTAGAGGCTGAGGTGGAAGGATTGCTTGAGCCCATGAGGTTGAAGCTTTTGAGGCTGCAGTGAGCCATGACTGTACCACTGAAACAGCCTGGGCAACAGGTAGAGAATACACACACACACACACACACACACACGCACGCCAGGCACAGTGGCTCATGCCTGTAATCCCAGCACTTTGGGAGGCTAAGGCAGGCAGATCACCTGAGGTCGGGAGTTCAAGACCAGCCTGGTCAACGTGGCAAAAACTCCATCTCTACTACAAATACAAAAATTAGCAGGGTGTGGTGGTGGGCACCTGTAATCCCAGCTACTGGGGAGGCCGAAGCAGGAGATTCACTTGAGCCTGAAAGGTGGAGGTTGCAGTGAGGCAAGATTGTGCCACTGCACTCCAGCCTGAGTGACAGAGTGAGACTCTGTCTCAGAACCAAAAAAACCCAACCAAACAAAACACATACACATACATATATGTATGTGTGTGTAGGAGGAGCTGGATCCCTCAGGCCCAGTCCAGCCAAGCCAGCCCACTGAGGCCCCATCTTGGGAGCTGGACCCCTTGGCTCTATTTGAAACCCTTGATGGTGCCTTCACTAACTGGGGAATACAGTCTTTCTGCATCAATTCAGTGCTCAAACTTTATAACAAGCATTCAAGCATTCAACCTAGAGGAAAGAGGGTCTGTCTCCACTTCCACGTTCCCAACCTCGCTTGTCCCCAGCTGCCAGAAAGCTGAAGTCCAGAAGCCCTGCTCTGTGTGGAAAGCAGAGGCCCACAGCCTGGCGTAACCTGCAGGCCAGCCTCTCTCTACTTCCTTCCACCTGAGTCAGGGCTGAACCAACCTGTGGGAAGGCTCATCTCACCCAGGAGTCCCCCTCCCAGGGCTTCCATCTTCCTCTGAGGCACCAGGGTCACATTCAGCACCCGCCGGCCTGGCGCCCCGGGGAAAGTCCGGATCTGCTGGGTTGGCCGCTGGCCCAGGTCTCCCATGCCCTCTGTTGGCCCCAGTAACCTCCCCTAAGACTGTCCAACTGTGAAGTAGAATGCTCGTTCTCGTTCGCTCTGTAGGGGAAAGAGGAGAATGGAGAGAAGGAGATGAGAGGGCCCAGTCTCCCGGGGGCTTACCTGCCATGACCTCAGCACCGAGGTGGTGAGTAGCATGAAGGTAAGATGGTGCGCCCGGTGGTTTAGGACACAAGGGTCCCAGTCCCGAGACTCTGCCGGGCCCGCACTGTCTGGATGGCCTGTTGGTTCTTGAACTTGACCAGGCCTAGGGTGATCTGGGCGTTCCAGCCGGGGTCTTCCAGGGGGCAGCGGAAGTCGATCTCGCCGCCGCCTTCGGTCACCAGCGTGAAGTAGATGTGGCGCCCGGTGCTCTCCACGCACTCCACCGCCTTGATGCGGGCGAAGCTGAGCTCCTTGGGCCGGCCGCCCGTGCCCTTGGCCTCGAAGAGCTGCAGCCCACGCTCGGTGAGTACGCAGCGCTTCCGCTTCCACAGCTGCAGCAGCCCGCCGCTGCGCTTCTCCAGCACGCCCTCCTTGAGCACGGTGGCCGTCGCCGCCGCCGTCATGGGCGCCTCGAGGTTCGCGGAGAGCTGCAGGCTGCGGCGGTCGCGGGGCCCTTCTTGGCCCCGCAGCGTCGGATTCTGGCGCCCAGGGCCAGCTGGCCGTGAGCCGTGCTCACCTGCGCCCTGACTGCCCCGCGCGCCCGCACCGCGGCCCTCAGCACCCCGCTGCCGGGGAGGTGATGTCCGTGCCCCCCGCGCACGCCGCGCCCACAGCCCAGCTTCAGCTGGCACCGGCTCCTCCGCCCGACCGGAGCTGGCCCAGCCCGACCCGCCTCTGCCGGGTGCCTCCGCCTCTCCCTAGCCCGTGAGCCCCGCAGTGCGCCCGTTCTCTTGCTCCCCTGGGCTCTGTCTGAGAGCAGAGCGGCAGCTCGCTGGATGTGCCCTTACATGTTCCGCCGCTCGCCTCCTGCGCCGCCCGCCCTCCGCGCATTCCTGCCCCTGCCGGCCCTCCCCGCCCCGGCCGGCCCTCCCCTCCGCTCCGCGCACAGCTCCAGGCCGGGCACCGGGGGCGGGGCCGCCGCGGGGCTCTGTCACTCACTGGAGGCGCAGCGCGAGGGGCGGGGAAGGCTGGGACCAAGAAGGGGCTGCTTACTCAACAGCCCAAGCCTTCTGGCTGCGGGTCTGCTACTTCTCGGAACCGCGGCTCCCCCAAGCCCTGAATGAAGCGGGAGGTGGCGGGGAAGGAAGGGGGAAGGCGCATCTCCTAGATTGGAGAGGGTACTGCTAGACAGTGGGTGGCTGGCTTGGCGATCGCGCTATGGCACCAGTTGCACGTTAGGCGTCAGACAGCTGCTGGCTACTTGGCAGGCCGTGGGGCCCTCAGCCTCTGCAATCTAGCCTATGTTGGGTTCCTCCTCCATCGGCCGATTTCTCTGTGCAGGACCCAAGAGAGGCTGTCCACACGGTTCACCAGCTCCTATTCCTACCTTCATGCGCTGCGCAGGGGAGGCCTGTAGAGAGTAGCCAGTGCCAACAAAGGAGAGCTGAGCCTTGAGGTCATTCATGAACTCCTCGTAGTGGGGGAGGAGGGACCCCCGCCGTGACCTGGGGGTGCCACTGTCTGCGGTCCTCTCCACCGCACACACTTGCAGAGGCAGACGCTGGACCGATGGCACAGTAGTTCCAGGTGTGAGCAAAGCTCCAACCTTGCTTCCACTTCCGCAAATATATATATATATAGGCGGGGATGGCGTCTCGCTCTGTCTCCAGGCTGGAGTGCAGTAGAGCGATCTCGGCTCACTGCAACCTCCGCCTCCCGGGTTCAAGCGATTCTCCTGCCTCAGCCTCCCCAGTAGCTGGGACTACAGGTGTGTGCCACCACGCCCAGCTAATTTTTTTTTTTTTTTTTTTTTTTTTGAGACAGAGTTTCGCTCTTGTTACCCAGGCTGGAGTGCAATGGCGCAATCTCGGCTCAGTTAATTTTTGTGTTTTTAGTAGCAACCGGGTTTCACCATATTAGCCAGGATGGTCTCGATCTCTTGACTATCGTGATCTGCCCACCTCGACCTCACAAAGTGCTGGATTTATAGGCCTGAGCCACCGCACCTGACCCTGCTCCGAAGATTCTGTCCTCCTCCCTCAGCCTCCTCCTAGAATGGACTTCTCCCAGATGCAGAGCTGGAGGGGAACCCGGAAGGAGAGGTCTCTTTCTGTTCTGTCTAGAATATTGCGTAAAGACAGAGCTTTGCAGAGTTAAGTTCAAACCTCTTCTCCCTTGATTGCTGTGTCCTACCCACTTGGGGCAACTTTACTGACCTCCCTGAATTTCCTCATCCATCAAATTATTAATTATTCTCATCTCATGGGGTTGTCCTAATGAATAAGTTAGATAACATTTGTGAAAGACCAAAGACAGGGTCTGGCAACTCTGAGTCTCAATAAATATTCTTCCTTCCCTCTCCCTACTTTTCTTCCCTGTAGAGAATGAGGGGACCCTGAGATGCCAGGCACGGGGAAGAGGGCTCTCCTAGGTCCTTATTCTGCCCCCCTCTTGGTCAGCTCCTCCAGGCCCACAGTTTCTTAAGTTATTCACCAACATGTTAACGATAGATTCTTAGGGGCTAATGATATGGAATAATGACAGGAATAAGACCTCTTTGTACTTACACCCTGTATTGCCATCCTCCTACCCAAAGAGCAGAGCCTAACGGATGCAGGGAGGGTCCTGTTGTGGGGGTAGGAGTGCCCTCCTCTGCAGCCCCAAAGTTAGGGGATGAGAGAAGGGAACTGTCAGTGTCTCATCCACAGCTCTTTACATACACACACACTCACATGTGACAACTAACTCCTAACTCCCAGAATGCCCTTCCAGGAGGGGGAAGTAGATAGTGGCATAAAAGAAGAGACAAAGATAGATGTCTCCTGAGGCCCACAGGGCAGCAGGGGAGGGAGCTTAAGGTGGCCATGGCCTTGCCTGGGCATGCCATTGCACTCCAGCCTGGGCAGTACAGCCAGACCTATCCCTACCTGTCCCCTGGAACAGGGAGTGAGCACCTCCCCCAGGGTCTCAGCCTGCCTGCCAGCCATGCCCTCCCATGACTCCTCCCTGCCACCCACAGGGGTCTCCTGGGTGCACCAACCTTGCACAGTCCTGCCATGATCCAAAGTTCTCTCCCTGAGGAAACAGGGCCCTAGACCAGGCTCTGTCCCTGTGAATTTTTTTGTTTCATTTTGTTTTTAGTAATGGGGGTTCACCCTGTTGGCCAGGCTAGTCTTGAACTGACCTCAGGTGATCTGCCCCCCTCAGCCTCCCAAAGTGCTGGGATTATAGGCGAGAGCCACCATGCCTGGCCCCTAACTCTGTTTTCTCTCTACCAGTTTCTCTTCTCCCCAAACTGGCCCTGGGATTCATGCTCTTTCCAGCTCCAGGTCGATTCACTGTTGTATGGGCTTTGAAAGTTTACAGAGCCCTCTCATGTGTTTTAGATGCTCATGATAGACAGGTGTTATTGTCATTGTGTGCATTGTACTGTTGAGAAAACTGAGACCCAGAGAGGTCAGGTAATGTAAACGGGGTTACGTGGCTTTGTAAATGGCAAAACCTGGATGAGAATGCATACTGGCTAACAGGGCCCAGGATCATTTGATGATACATACCCACACTGCCCATACATGAACATCTGAGTCCACACAGTTCCTTTAGAAATGACCCAGCCACCCATACTTTTCTCTTGAGCTTACTGAGTGGAGAGGGGCCAGGCTTTTGGACATAGGAGAAGGGAATATTGGATAGCAAGAGTGAGCAGATAAAGAGGGGGCCATTGGAGGAAAGTTAGCAAGACATACTCTACTGCTGGAAGGGTCTTCATCAACTAAACATCTGGTTCCCAACAGCACCATGTCTTTCTGGAGGCCTGAATTGGTCCTTGGAACCTGGAGTCCTGTCCTCCAGCCTCATGACCTCTGGGACTAGGGGAAATGACTCATTCTGAATCTTTCCCCAGAGCTGGCATCTTGCCTGATAGCCACATCTGGGAGAGGCTCAGGCCCAGGCTGGATTATTTGGGCCATAGGAAGGATCAAGAAGCACTCAAAAGCCAGGGAGCAGGGAGCAGAGAGGGCTGGTGCTGCTGCTCCCTCCCTGCTAGGGTATCCCTCCCCTCCCCATGGAATAGGAGCTCTAACTTAACCTTCCTGGGGCACTGGGCTGGAGCAGTGCTGGGCCCTAGAGATACTTACTCAATTCTTATTGACTTGTTAACTCCACATGGGGCTGATGGACAGAATGTCCCCTGATAGCAGCCCAGAGCTGGCTCCTCCCTCTGCTCACCCCAAAGGGACAGCTGATCTGCACTGTCAATAAATCTAAGTCCAGCTGGAACAGGCTAGACTACAAAAAGGCCCAGGGAAGAATATGCTGGAAATGGTTCTAGCTAGGGCTGAGCCACCCCACCTCCACACCTGTGTGAGAAGGAGGAAGTTCAAGTAGAGAGAAGGGCTCCCTCTGGGTAGCTCCCCAGGACAAGGTGAAAGAAAGATGAGAATAAAGTAGGACAAAGGCAAGAATGAGACCCAGAGAGATGCAAAAAGTAACCTTGCTTTTGTTTTGTTTTCTATATTTACTTAATCTTTTTTTTTTTTTTTTTTGAGATGAGTTTTGCTTTTGTTCCCTAGGCTAGAGTGCAATGCGTAATCTCGGGTCACTGCAACTTCCACCTCCTAGGTTCAAGCGATTCTCCTGCTTCAGCCTCCCTAGTAGCTGGGACTACAGGTACCCATCACCATGCTCGGCTAATTTTTTGTATTTTTAGTAGAGACAGGGTTTCACTATGTTGGCCAGGCTGGTCTCGAACTCCTGACCTCAGGCAATCCACCAGGTTCAGCAATGTACCTGACAAAAACTGGGAGGTGGAAAGGATAATGCAATAGTTTCCCTTTCTCTCATTATGGGGAATTACTTTGTAATCCCAAAGTGCTGGAATTACAGGCGTGAGACATCGCACCTGGCTATTTACTTAATCTTATATAAATTCTGTTTGGTGATCATAAATTGTTAGACTCAATCTAAAGAAAAGCATTGAAGGCAATTTATTAACAAAACAAATGTACGTTAACACCACAAAAACTTTAAAACTAAGGATGATATCATTCCTTTGCTCAAAAGCCACCAGAACCTTCTCATCTCATTCTGAGTAAAGCGGAAGTCACTGATGCTGCCTGCAGGCCCTCTGAGACCTGGCCATCACTATCTCATCTTACCTCCTCCACTTTCCTCTCTCCCTGGCTCCAGCCACGGTCCTCATCATCCCTTGAACTTGGCAACTCTCCCTCCTCAGGGCCTTTGCACCTGCTGTCCTGACTGCCTGGAATCCCCTTCCCCAGATCACCACATGGTTCATTTCTTTACCTCACTCAGCTCTGGTCAGATATTTCTGTCACAGTGGGGTCTTCCCCCAACACCCTGTTTAAAGCCACAACCTCCTCCCATAGACATAGATACACATATTATATCCCCTCCCTGCTCAGTTTTTCTCTATGGCACATATTAGCATCCACAACTCTATATTTTTATTTATTGTCTACTTCCTCTACCTGTAGGCTGTATGCTAGCAGGGAGTTTTATCTATTTCATTTTTACCCCTGTGGCTCCAGCCCTGGAACGTTGCCTAATACACTGTAGGACCTCAAAGAATAATTACTGAATAAGAAAATGAAGTGGCAATGTACCTTACAAAAACTGGGAGGTAGAAAGGATAATGCAATAGGTTCCCCTTCTCTCATTATGGGGAAGCAATAAATGCAATCTAGAGTTAATGAACTAATAAAGAGAATGTAACTGTATTATTTAAAACAATAATGGAAACCACTAGATGGTTACAGGAGATTTTTAGGGCAGCAAGACTATTTTGTTTGATACTATGATGGTGGATACGTGACACTATGCATCTGTCAAAGCCTATGGAGCCATATAACAAGAGTGAGCTTAATGTAAACTATGAACTTAGTTAATAGTAAATGTATCAATATTGGCTCATTCATTGTAACAAATGTAGCACACTAATGCAAGATGTGAATAATAGGACAAACTATGGGGGGAAGGTAGGTATACAGGAACTGTTCTATCTGCTCAATTTTACTATACATCCAAAAATTAAAGTATTTTATTTAATTTTATAATTAAAATACTTATAACAATTAAGTATTTTAATTAAATTCTAAAAATTGATAGTTTGCTTGATCTCAGCATTTTAGGAGGCTATGGCACAAGGATAGCTTGAGCCCAGGAGTCTGACACCAACCTGGACAACATGGTAAGATCTTGTGTCTCCAAAACAAAAAAATTTTATTTTTGAGACGGAGTCTCACCGTCACCAGGCTGGAGTGCAGTGGTGCGACCTCGGCTCACTGCAACCTCCGCCTCCCTGATTCAAGTGATTCTCCTGCCTCAGCCTCCCCAGTAGCTGGGACTACAGGCATGTGCCACTATGCCCATCTAATTTTTGTATTTTTGGTAGATACAGCCTAACCAACATGGTGAAACCCCGTCTCTACTAAAAATACAAAAATTAGCCAGGCATGGTGGAGCACACGTGTAATCCCAGCTACCCAGGAGGCTGAGGCGGGAGAACTGCTTGAATCTGGGAGACAGATGTTGCGGTGAGCCCAGATCGCTCCACTGCACTCTAGCCTGGGCAACAGAGTGAGACTCAGTGTCAAAACAAAAAAAAGAAAAAGAAGGAAAAAAAACCTAGTCAACTGCACAGCACGTAAATGTTTATGTGGTACAGCAGTTAAAAATCAACAGATCACAGGTCTTAGGTTGAGATGCCTGAAATATGTTGTTTCGTGGGGAAACGCTACGGTAGACTAAATGTAATAAGGCATATAGCAAGACCACACATGAACAAAAGTCCCTCTCTGTTGTACAGGTTATATCTGGAAGGATTCACAGCGATATGTTACCTGTGGAATGTCCAGGCTGGGGATGGGCAGTATGAGAATACCTGTCATTTTACAAGCATGCTTCAATATGGTTTGGATGTCATACTCATGTACTAGGCATATTTTTAAAATAAAATAAACACATAGCTGTTACATATGTTCTTTAAATAGAATTTCAAACACAGGGGCTGCCTTCAGAGCAGGGGTTGATTTAGAGGTTTGAATCGCAGTTGCTGGCCTCCAGGCATCCCCAGGATTCCCCAAGGTGGCACACAGACCCTCCTGGGGTGGGGTGTGTACACCAGAGCTGAGCAAACCCAGAGCTCAGCATGCAGCCCCTTCTGTCTCTGCAGTTCTGCCCTCTACCTCCAACCTTGGGGAACATAAAAAAGGGCTGGTTCCCTTACAGGACCCTGGGCACCCATCCCATTATCCCCTGGCAACTGGAGTTGGAAGGTTCATCTAGGATACCTCAATTTGACCCCCAGTCTAGAAAGAGGTGTGTGGTATAGACCAGCTTCTCAGACTCTAATGTGAAAACAGATCACCTGGGAATCTTGCAAATGCAGCTTCTAACTGAATAGGTCTAGGGTAGGATCTGAGATTCTGCACTTCTAGAAGCTTCCAAGTAACACCGATGCTGCTAGTCAACAGAACACACTTTAGATAGCAAGGGTCTAGAGCAGTGATTCTCAAAATGCAGCCTCAGACCAGCAGCGTCAGCATCACCTGGGAACTTGTTAGAAAGGCAAATTCTAGGCTCCACCCCAGTCCGGGGTTTGGAGCCCAGCAATCCATGTTTTAACAAGCCCTCCAGGTGATTCTGATGCACACGTGTGAGAACCACTGGTGTAGGGGAAGGAGCACTCAGCTAGGAGACAGGGAACCCATGTCATAGCCCAAGCTTGGTGACACCTTACACAATCATTTCCCCTCTCTGACCTCAGTTTTCTCATCTGTAAAATGGAAACTGTTGAGTTCTGTCTTGCAGATTTAGAGCATATCTGAAAAAAAAAAAAAAAACCTGGCTACTTTATGGGAGCTATGGAACCCCCTGAATAGGCAAGAAAAGAAAACATCGTTACTCCTCAATCTGTTCTACATCCCTGGATTCCTCAGGCCGGGTAGCTCCTCCTCACCTACATAGGGCGTGAAAATGTGTTGGTTCCCCAGCCCTGTTCCTCACCACCCTGCTTCTCCCTTCAGGTTTCTGCACCCACCCTTCAATCCACAGGGCCCTTGCTGCTCTCCTCTCCCTGGGAGCTGGGGCCAGGAGACCCACTCCCCAGCTGACCACTCTATTAGACTTCTCCTGGCCTGCTCGGTCCCCTTTGATGTACAGCTCTTTGTTCCAGGGCTTTGGGGTTTCCTCGGATCTCTGTTTTCCTCAAGGGAAACAGAAGGAAAAATCGACAGAGGTTTCAAGTCGCTGATGACTTGGGTTTTATGGGCACCATTGCGACAGACTTCAAGTGAGCAGCAACCCTGCAGCCGACCCGCCCAGGCTTGCTCCTGGGCCTGGCTCTCTCAGTGGAAATCCCCTCCCACGCTCAGCCCTTTAATCACTTTCCAGCCCAATAACTTTCCTGATTCACCAGGAATCCCTTTCGTCTTGAGAGCACCTACTGCCCCTCTCTGATGGGGCTGAGTCTGGGCTTGAAGGCATTTGATCCCAGAATGGGTCTTACAGAGATTGGACTTGTGGGCTCACAGTTCAGGTTGGGGCCTGTAGAATTTTCCCTTTCCCATGCCATCTTGGCATCTGCGTGCCCATGTTGTAGGAACAAATGAGCTGCCCTGGAATGACTCTCTTCCTTGAGGACACTTGGCCAAGGGGCAAGCACACTAGGAGGAGACTGACCGATGCCCAGGGAACTAGTGGCCTCAACCAGCATGCCAGTAATAGCCGTGAAGCCCTTGACCTATAAACTGCTTTCTCTTTTCTTCTAGTAATAATAGTGTGCTTTAAATGCAAGTAATGCTTGAATACATTTTTGTTGCAAAAGATTCAAAACATGACAGTATTTTTCACCACCCCTCTAGTCCCCCAACCCCAGAGACAACAATCCCTTAGCCTGGTTTCGGTCTCGACAGACATTTGTTTTGACTTTTCGTGCCTCTGTACTCAGACTAGTATAAAGCAGCATTCTCATTGGTAATATAAGGAAGTTGGTTGAAGGATTCATAAGTCCCCTTCCATCTCTGCCATTGTCTGCATTTGTGGGTGGCTTTTCCCTCTCTTCCGAAAGAGGAGACATTCATAGGATCTCCCTAAAAGTATAGGGTGGAAGGGGAATGCATAGAGGAAAATAGGAAAAGAAAGGTCACAGTGTCAAAAGCAGTTCCTTCAAGGTGAGGAGATTATGGATGAGTTTTTTACCACTTGCTTCTGATTTTCAAATGTTCCATCCTGAGAGTTATAAAGATTATTATTTGGCCAAGTGCAGTGGCTCACACCTGTCATCCCAGCACTTTGGGAGGCCAAGGCGGGAGGATCATGAGGTCAGCCATTCAAGACCAGCCTGGCCAACGTAGTGAAACCCCCTCTCTAAAAAAAATATAAAAATTAGCGAGGTGTGGTGGCATGCACCTGTAGTCCTGGCTACTTGAGAGGCTGAAGCAGGAGATCACTTGAACCCAGGAAGCAGATGTTGGCAGTGAGCTGAGATTGCACCATTGCATTCCAGCCTGGGTGAGAGAGTGAGGCTCTGTCTCAAAAAAAATTATATATATATATAATTTGTGAGTATTACTTTGATAACAGAGAAGTTCTTACACAGTGCCGTTGTCAAGATCAGGCAGAGAAGGCTGTGAGTTGTTCAGCCTGAGGCTTAGGTCAAGGAGAAATTAACAGATTGCTCAAATCAGAGGGGTGTGTGGAGGGGATTAGGGAAGGGAGAAAGGCTCATGGCATATTCTTGGATTCCATCTACAGGGAGATTCACAGAAAGGAACTTCAGAGTAAATCCCCTTGTTTGTGAATTAAGAATTAAGCATTCTGTGAGCCAGGCCTTGGGCTAGACTTTAAGGACACAATGGCAAATGTGTGAATCAGAATTCTGTACTTCACAGGGACTGGCAACACAAGGGGAGGTGGAGTTCACATCCTTAGGAATCCCCGCCTACTCTTGCAAGAAGATATTCCCTCCTACTGAAGGTCCCAGAGTTAAGCATTAGATCTTTGACAGGCCATGATTCTGACTTTACAGAAACATGGTTTCCGTACCGGACTTGGCCTATCTAAGGTGATATTGGTATGTGTACTAATCAGGATGGGGTAGGTTATGCTGCGTTAACAAACTCCTCCCAAACCCAGTAGCTTCACACAGCAAAGATCATCTCACTCATGCCATATGCCCTACTTGAGCTGGCAGGGGAGATTCTACTCATTGTGATATACACATATCCAGGTGGCTGAGGTTCCATCACGACACCGACTTCCACACTCTCTGCAACAGGGAAAAGGGACATGAGGAGTCACACCGTGTCTCTTAAAGAAGTCTTCTCAGAAGTGACACTTCTGGTCTCAATTAGAGGCCATACCAAGTCACATTACCATATCAAAATTCAAGGGAGGAGGCCAAATGTAACCTCTCAATGTAAAGGTAGATATTACTGTGTGCCCAGGAATATCTGTGAACATCCTTTAAAGGACTAGACCGTGTGGTTGCCATCCTTTAAAGGACTAGACAGTGTGGGACTGGTGGGTACCCCCAGAAGGCAGAGCCATCTCTTCGCTCCTCCAGTAGAAAGCAACAATCCCCCTTGGTGTGGGACCAAGCCCTTGAACTTTCTGGAAGAGTCAGGTTGGGGTCAACAGAGTGGAAATGTAGAAGGCTCAGGAGCAGGTGCTTCTGAAAAGGCATCAAGGGCTTGTCCAGGCATGGGAAATGCCCACTAAGGCTTTATTCATGATAATCTGCTTCCTGAATTTTCATGGCCTTTAGGGTGAGTCTTTGTAGGCCCATAAACTCGGACATCAGAGGTGGGCAGATCCCCTGAAGCCTGGCTGTTCAAGTGTGGTCTCAGGATCAGCCACATCAGCACCACCTCCCCCTGGGAGCTTGTGAGAGATGTCCAATCTCATGCCCCACCCAAAACCACTGAACTAGAATCTGCATTTTAACAAGATCCCCAGGAGATTCATATGCACATTAAAGCTTGAGAAGCATTTCCCCAGAACTAATTTAGGCCAACATCTTCACTCCACAAATGAGGAGCTGACACCCAGAGGGGAGGAGGCAGCCCAAAGTCACACAGCTGGTTCCAATCCTGGCTCCACCACTTGCCAGGGACTTGAGTAAGTCTCTTTAAAATTCACAATCTCAGTTTCCTCTTATATAATAAAGTGATAATATAATTACCTCTCAGTGCTTATATGAGGATCAAATAAGACAACATCTAGACCAGTGCCGGGCACATAGTATGTGCTCAGTAACTGTTAGGTATTGCTGTGGTCTTTATTTATTTATTTATTTATTTTGAGACGGAGTTTCACTCTTGTTACCCAGGCTGCAGTGCAATGGTGCGATCTTGACTCACTGCAACCTCCACCTCCTGGGTTCAGGCAATTCTCCTGCCTCAGCCTCCTGAGTAGCTGGGATTACAGGCACGCGCCACCATGCCCAGCTAATTTTTTTTTGTATTTTTAGTAGAGACGGGGTTTCCCAAATTGACCAGGATGGTCTCGATCTCTTGACCTCGGGATCCACCTGCCTCAGCCTCCCAAAGTGCTGGGATTACCGGCTTGAACCACCGTGCCCGGCCTGCTGTGGTCTTAACTCACTGTTCCAGCACCAGGCCTCATACTCCCAGAACATGACAGTTTCTTCTTAAAGCAAGGGTGTTAGATCTGGCACTGCAGAGATGGGACCTGGACCCAGCTGCCTGCATTTATATCCTGCTCAATTTGACCTTGAGACAGCTGCTGAATTGTTTTTTTGGTTCTTGGCTTCAGTTTGATCAGTTGTGAATGGATAAAACGACAGCACCCACTTCATAGGGCCATTGTGAGAATTATATGAGTTAATACATGTAAGGTCTTCAAACGGTCTATACACTTAGTAAGCACACAAGTTGGATGAATAATGTGAGAATTAAATGAGTTAATATATTTAAGGTCTTCAAAGGGTCTATAGCATATAGTAGGCACACAAGTTGGATGAATAATGTTTCCAAAATGTCCAAATGAAGACTAGGGTGGAGGTAGTTGCACCCTAGAAAGGCAGGGGACAGGCATTTCTCAGGAGGAGCTGCCTCCATTTTGTCCCTTTGGCCTATTTTAAGTCCCCAGTCTGTTTCTCTGGCCACTGGATGGGCCCCAACCCCTGGCTGTGTTTTTCCTCCTCCACTGGACTCACTGGGCTCCCTGGTGCCTCCATCAGGACGCCCTGAAAGGCCAGGGGATCTCTGGTGGGGAGGGGCACACTCAGGCAGATGACAGCTGTCTTCAAATCTCCGAAGCCCTGTCACACAGGAGAGGGATTAGATCTGTTCTGGATGACTCTAGGGGACAGAAATAGGAAGTTCCAGGACGTCCTCTCTAATCATTAGAACTGTTCAGAGGCAGCCCCAGCTGCGTGGCGGGGCGGGGCGGGGTGCGGAGCTCTTGGCAGCTAAGCGGTTGCCCAATCAGGAGGGTGAGCTGCGGGGTGGAGCCCAGCACCCCCTGGGAGGCTGGGCTGGTCCGCGGGTTCTCAAGCCGGGCAGAGCGCGGGCGAGCGTCAGCATCACCTGAGGAGCTTGTTGAATACAGATGCCCAGGCCCCGCCCAGGCCAACCGGATCAGAATTTTTAAAGGCTTCCCCAATGATTCTCAGAATAAGGTCCGCGCTTGGAGGCGGGGCCAGGGCTGGGCGTGGCACGGGGGCGAGGCGGGCGGAGGGCCAGACTGTCCAGTAGCTAATCCCTGCGTTCCTCACTCTCCTCTACCACCCTCACCGATCTGGGTCGAGGGATCGTGCCTCGCTGGGTGCCCCCCCCACATTTCATCTTAGCCAAAAGTTCGAGAAGCGACTGGGTGCCCCCCTCGAATAATTTCTTGGCCCTCGATTCAGGGATCACTCTCACACCTAATAGAGGCTCTAACGCCCCCAACCCCGGCTCCCTAAGATCTCTGGCCTCACCCCTCCAGTCGGCCTCCTGGTCTTCCTGTGCCTCCCCAGCTTCTCAGGGGACCCAGACAATTTGCTAAGGCTCTTGGAGAAGGGCAGCCCGAGGAGACTGGGCCTGTCGCCCATCGGGAGGAGAGCTGTTTCCCATCACATCCGAAAAAGCCCAGGGCTCGGCCGCCCCTGCAGCTGGGCATAGCTCCCACCAAATGCATTCTCCCGAGGTCGCCCTGGACGCCTTGCTTGGAGATGACAGAAACGAGAAAAGAAATACCTAAGTGCACATAAAGACCTTGCTCACCCTTTGGTGACCCTTCGTGTCAATTCCACAGGGTTTGGTATTCCACAGGGCCCCGAAGCACGCCAGTATTCAGAGAAGAAGGGAGCGTCGGGGATCAGACGCGTGCGCTGTCTTGTGCAGGAGCTGAGTCTTCAGGGTCCACGGGGACAGGAGGGGGTGTGGGGGGCGCGGAAAGGCAGCGCCCGCCTTTTGCCCTGACCCCACAGCGCCACCTGGTGTCTCCTGGGACGGCGCAAGCACTGCGCCTGCGGATGCTGGGCCCCCTTCCCGTCACCCGACCCCCCTTCGCCCCGTGCCTCCCCTGCCTGGTGTTCCTCCTTCCTCGCCGCGCCCTTCATTGTCCAGTGGGTGCTTCCTGACTTGGCCGTAGCTGGCTTACAGCCCACTGCCTTTACCCGGGTCTTACTCCCAGGAGGTGCGCCCGGGGCCCCTTCCCCACCGTGGGGCTGCACTGGAAGACAGGGGCCCCGAGGCAGGACAGCTAGCGGAGCAGGGGACAAGAGGAGGAGTGGCCGACAGGCCCTCCGGAGTAGCCAGCAGAGGGCAGCCTCTCTCCAGCTTTCGGCCCCAAAAGTTCCCATCCTGGTCACTCCTGCAGGCCCCTCCCAGAACAGGAGGGTTCACCTGTGTGCGTGGAACCAGCCATCCTCCTGGGTGCACAAACCTGTCCAGAGCAGCTTTTGTGGGCCACGCCCTGTGCTGGAGCCAGAGGGGTTACCAAGATGGAGCCCTTGACCCCGATTGCAGAACTCCCCGTCAGTGCCCACCCTGGGCTGAAATTCTCTGAGCTCCTCCAGCTCTTCTCCCTGTCACCTTGCACTTTCTCATCGCTCTGCACCATTGTATGCATAGGTCCGTTTCTCAGAGTCGAGGAGGGGGCTCTGTCAAGGCCACTGTTGGAACTGGTCATCTGGGAAGTACCTACAAGAGGCCTTGTTAAAGCATTTGCCTTTGTTTTGAAATTTTAGTGTGGGCACATTTTCAAGAAGGGCTAAAGCAGAGCAGCTTAGCTGGGACACATTAGACAGGTGAGTCTAAGATGAAGGATGCTTCGCCCCCTCACATGACCCTATTTCCAAAAAATGTGGCCTTCCATAGACTTGCTGTGGAGCCCCTAACAGCACAGCAGGCGGAGCCAGGTCCCTCCACCACTCCCTCCTAAGCAGAAGTGAGCTTTCTAGATTTGAAGTGAAAGTTCCTCTGGCTGAATTTCCCCCTCAGGCCGGGGGCTTTCCAAGCCGGGAGAAGTTCTGAGCACAGTCTTGGGGCTTAGCTGAACCCCTCCAAGTCCAAAGTTCATGTGATTCTCAGGCCCAGATTTGGGGGCGGAGACCAGACAGAACAAGGCAGTGGTATTTGGTTGGTCAGGTCACTTCAGACAGTGTGGTTCAGTTGGAATTGATGCTGAGAAGTAACTGGTCCTTAGAAAAAGCAGGAACAAATCTGCTTTGATTCATTTTGACCAGACTCCCTGCTAATTTTTTTTTTTTTTTTTTTTTTTGAGACAGATTTTTGCACTTGTCACCCAGGCTGGAGTGCAATGGCGTGATCTCAGTTTGCTACAACCTCTGCTTACTGGGTTCAAGGGATTCTTTTGCCTCAGTCTCCCAGGTAGCTGGGATTACAGACACCTGCCACCATGCCCAGCTAATTTTTTTTTTGAGACAGAGTCTCGCTCTGTCACCCAGGCTGGAGAGCAGTGGTGTAATCTTGGCTCACTGCAACCTCCGCCTCCCAAGCAATTCTTCTGCCTCAGCCTCCTGATTAGCTGGGATTACAGGCGAGTGCCACCATGCTCAACTAATTTTTGTACTTTTAGTAGAGACGGGGTTTCACCGTATTGGCCAGGCTGGTCTTGAACTCCTGACCTCATGATCTGCCCACCTTGGCCTCCCAAAGTGCTGTGATAACAAAGGCGTGAGCCACCGTGCCTGGCTAATTTTTTGTATTTTTAGTCGAAATAGGATCTCACCATGTTAGCCAGGCTGGTCTTGAATTCCTAACCTCAGGTGATCCATCCACCTCAGCTTCCCAAAGCCCTGCTAATTTTGATTGCTCCCATTGAGTTCCTTCCCAGCTCCATAGACAGGATTGGGACACCAGAGTTCTGGTCTAAACAGCTTTATTGACCAGATGAGAAATCCACTTGGGTACAGCCCATGCCTTCAGCCTTTTCCGTGTTGTTCTTTCACTCAGATAGTGTTCTTTCAGTTGCGTGAAGCAGTGAGGCCCAGCCCTTTCCCCTTCCTCCTACCACTACTCCTAACCTGGGGCCTGGAACGGGTGGAGTGGTGTGATCAAAGGGTCCCTTGAGAAGGGTAGGGTGGAAGAGGCAGGGTCTTGGGTTAAAGGGAAGAGTCCGAGGTCTCAGGGCAAAGGGAAGGGGTGTCTGGATGAAGACCGAGGCTGTGCCTACCTCCCTCCACATCTGAGGATCAAGTAGGTGTGGCAAGAACAGGGCCCTGATCTGGGCTCTGCTGACCACAGCCTCAGGACCCAGGGTTAAGGCCAGAGGTAACTACCTGAAGATTTGGGCCACTGATAAATGCCAACATATGTTTCGGGCGTTTCATTAGGATCCCCCCATCAAGCAGGGAACGGCATGTCTGAGAAGGTTAAACGACATCCTGACTTAGCAGTCCTTAGACCTGGGTTATTCTCCTCCACTCCAAGTGGGAGGCTATCAGTTCCACAAAGACTCAAAGGCAAGAGGCCTTGAGAAGCAGGGGCTCCTAGGACCCTGCCTGCGTGCCTCTCTGCGTCCGGCAGTGACTCCCTGAGCTGGGACTCCTCAGGCTTATTCTGAGGAACACTAGGAAGCCCATCCTCTTTCCCACAGAAGAGAATCTCTGGGATCCAATAAACCCAGCCTTCCCCCGTCCCCATCTTGGTGTTGCTTCCCTCTCCCTCCAGCCTGTTGCTGCTGTTCCTCTGGGCACCAAGATGTGTCCTCAGGTGTCTTGGCCAGCTGATGATGGATACCCACAGAGCAAGAGGCTAAGAACAGAGCTCTGTGGGATGAGGTGTGGGGAGAGGGGCCTGCTCTCACCTAGACTAAAATCACTGAGGTCTCCTGCTGGTGATGGGGTCAGATGCCAGGCCTGGGGAGCCTTTTAGTGGCATGGGACTTCAGGCAGACCCTCAAACCAAAGGAAGCCAGATGTCCAAGTTCAAGTCATTAGTGATATGTGGCAGGGCCGAGAGAGAAATAATCCCAGAGGTCTCCAAAGCTGCTGGGGAGGGAATGGTGATGAAAAGCGCAGGAGTGGGCAGGGCGTGGTGGGCGATCGTGGCTTCACTCAGAGTGGACCAAGGCCCCAGCTCCTTGCCCAAAACCAAAGCCCTTGGGCCCAAAGTTTTTAGCATAGCATCCTGTAGAGAGAGGAGAGAGGTAAGGGCATGTTCCTTCTCCACCCCCAGCCACACCACCCACCCTCCTGCTGACGATCCCCCACTCCTAGAGCCCAGCCAGACCCCTAGAGAAGGAAGGTCCACTAGCACCCCCTCACCTCCACAGTACCCCGATCTCAATAGCAAAAAAGTGAAGAGGTTCTTGGTTCCACCCTGTACCCACTGCCCCTGCCACCAAAATTATAGAAGCATCATCTGCTGTAGAGCATTGGACTGGCAGTTACGAAGCCAGGGTCTAGCCCTATGCCTGCCTCAATTTGCCATATGATTCTGTCCAAGTTACTCTCTCCCTCTGGGCTTGTTTCCTCATCTGTACAATGAAGGAATCATACTAGATGCTCTGGACCTTGGATCCCAAGGCCAGGAATTAGTTTACATTCAGCAAAGGCAAAACTACTTAGTCCCCCTGTCCCCTCAGGCCTCCTGATCCTCAATTAGAAGTGAAACTACCCACCTTTGCAGTAAATCTCGCCATCCTTGTCGGCCAGGGTGGTTGACTCAAGGCCTTTGCCACACTTGGCACATCGGAAGCAGGACTTATGCCAGGACTAGGTAGGGAAGGAAATAGTTAATGGCTGCCACCAGTGACTAGGGCACCCTCCACCCCCAGGCCAACTCCCTTTGACAGAACCATCATATAAAGGCTCGAGGCATTTCTGATATCTGCTCAGCTGGTGCTGCTAGGAGGAGATGGGCATAGTGATAGGCAGTAGAGGGAGAAGGACAGCGACCACAGGCCACCTCGCACCATCTTCCATGATATGTTGCAATGGCCTGATGATTAGGGTCACCAGCTATATCACAAAAGGCAGGTGAGGGGATGGGTTTAACACCAAGGTAGCTATTCCCCCACTGGCTGGGCTAAATGAGGCTTCTCCAGATCCATCTTGCCAGTAGAGCCAGGGCTTTGCACTCTTCCTGGCACTGCCACTTCGTTCTTGAACAGCCCTCATTGAAAAGAACTCTCTGCCCTGTGTTGACTTGGGGCATCTCAGAGACACAAAGGGTCTTCTGCGGCCCCTGGAGAAACTACACTCCTCAGGTCTTTCCCTGCTGAGTTCAATGCATTTCATGGACTTATTCTCCTTCCAAAGTAATACTAGACAACACTGACTCAAGCCTCCTCTGTGCCAGGCCCTGTACCAGGCACTTTACACTGGTGAAGTCAGTTAATGTTCACAGCTACCCAGTGAGAAGGGACATACTGCCACCCTACCCTCCAATGGGTGATAGGCTTTGGGCAAAGGAGGCACCCAATTCTAGAACTTCAGAGACTGGGCTGGTCCAGGAGAATCCCAATGATAAATAGCTTTTCTGTGGCCAGGCATCATAGATTTAACTATCTAGCCCTCACATCCATTCTGCAACACAGGGTAATCAGCTCTCCCAGAAAAAAGCGATGCCCGAGTTTGTACACTGATGGGATGTTGCAGGCAGACTTCTTAGCAGCCAGCTCCCATCAGCAGCTGAGCAGGCTAAGAGGCTGACGTGTAGACAGCTCTGCTTACCACAGGAAAAGCAAGAGGCAGGCAGCAGTCAGAGAAGACAAAGCAAAGCCTTTTAAGGGCAAAGAGACTCCAAAGTGCCCAGGCTGGAGGATGAGAAAGGAAATTCATGCCCTCAGATTTCCTGGCTGCCTGACCTTGCACATTGGCTTCTCCTCCAAAGAGCTGAGATGGGGAAACCCGGGTCTCAGTTAGTGCCGGTGCAACCTCAATAGTCACTCGGCCTTTGCTGCCTCCTCTGTAAAGCAGGGGCTGCTACCCCAAGCTCTCCAGGCTGGAGAAGAACTGAATTACATCTAGACCAACACCCCTCCTCCTATTTCCTAGCCATCTCCCTGCCAAAATAAGCTGAATCCCTTTGCCCATTCATAAGCACCCAAAAGTACTCCCAGCTCCTCAATATCTCTTGACCAAGGCAATAGAAAGGTGGGGGCTTCTCCCTACCTTTTCCACTTGAATGCAAAATTCTCTTATCCTACTCCTTAGTCCAGCCTTAACTTTACCTTATAGCCTGTCTAACTAATGGAAATAGTGATCCTTAGCTATTCTTAACAACTTTCCATTCTCATAATGAGATAGAACAAAAAAACCCAATTTCATAATAATATGATGTTCTCCTATTTTTATATTATTTAATCAATGGTAAGGATCTTCATAGTGACCTCATAACAATCCCTGAAAATAAACAACAATAATAATAATAATAGCAAAACTGTACTGAGCACATACCTGGCACTACATTGCATGCTACACATGTATTATTTCATTTAATCATTGAAACTGACTTGTTGCCGGGTATGGTGGCTCATGCCTATAATCCCAGCACTTTGGGAGACTGAGGTGGGCAGATCACGAGGTCAGGAGTTCAAGACCAGCCTGGCCAACATGGTGAAATCACATCTCTACTAAAAATACAAAAATTCGCTGGGCATGGTGGCACACATCTGTAGACCCAGCTACTCAGGAGGCTGAGGCAGGAGAATCACTTGAACCCAGGAGGCAGAGGTTGCAGTGAGCTAAGATCTCTAGCCTGTGTGACAAGAGTGAAATTCTGCCTCAAAAACGAAAACAAAAACCCTGCCTTATTTTGTCCACTTTGCATTTCCTCTACCATCCGGGCCCACTTTAGAGGTGCAGAACTGAGGCTCAGGAATGCTAAATTTTCCCAAGGTCACTCAGCCAATAAGTGGCAAAACTAGGATTCAAAGCAGGGCTGTCTGGAGCCCAAGCTCTTAATCACTGCGCTAGGATTAACAATCCCTTCCCGTTTTGCAGTGTTGGAAATGGGTTCGAAGGGGTTAAATGGTTCAAAGTAGCATTAGCAGTAGTAAGAGCAGTAAGTGCAAGGGCTTCGAGGTCAGACAAACCTGGGCTGGAGCCTGGCTTAGCCCCTTTCTAGCTAGCAGATCTGGGCAAATTATTTAATCTTTCTGACTCTCAGTTTCTTCATCTGTACAGCAGCGACACTAATGCCCATCTCTGTCTGACTATGACTGTGAGAGTCCAGCCTTTGCTGCCTCCTCTGTAAAGCAGGGGCTGCCACCCCAAACTCTCCAGGCTGGAGAAGAACTAAATCACCCCTAGACCAATACCCCTCCTCATATTTTCTAGCCACCCCCCACCGCCAAAATAAGCTGAATCCCTTTGCTCATTCTTAAGCACCCAAAAGTACTCCCAGCTCCTCAGTATTTCTTGACTGAGGCTAACCTTTTTTTGAGTCAAATCTTGGCCTATCAACATTTCTTAATCTATTCCCCTATCCCACTCCTCAAGGTCAAAAGCCTTGAAACCCAAAACCCAAACCCAGAAGAGCCAAAGATGGGCTCTAGGCCCAGGCACTCCACAACCTTGTTGTGTGATCTTGGCCAAGTCACTTTTCTATCTCAGGTTTCCTGTGATGCTCCAGAAATCCACTCTGGCCTCATAGCTTAAAGATACCTCTTCTGTGACTTTCTGACTGCTCATCTGATGCTGCAAACTCCTGGGGCAAGAATTCTGCCTCTTCTCTATGCAGCCTGTCTGAGGGAAGGGATCGGCTCAACTGG